CGCCCTGGGCCCGGGTCGGCGGCGGCGACGACGACCCCGCCGCAGAGTATGCGCTCTGCACGCCCGCCGAGATGCGGAGCCGCTACTTTTGCGCCGACCCAGCGGTGGGAGACGGCGGCGGTGATGTGGGCTTGTTCGGCGGCATCCGCTACTCTGCTGGCAGCATCTCGGCTTACGGGTTCACCGTTGGGGTGCTCAAGCTCTGCATCGAGCGGGGGCTGAAGGTGCACGCCAACACGCCCGCCGTGAAGCTGGAGCGGATCGAGCGGAAGAAGGACGGCGACGACGGCGACGACGGCAACGACGACGACGTGTCCCCGGCGAGGTGGACGGTCACGACGCCGCGGGGCGCCATCGCGGCGCGGCGCGTCGTGCTGGCCACCAACGGGTACACGGCGGCGCTGCAGCCGCGCTTCCAGGGCGTCGTCGTGCCGCTCCGGGGCCAGATTACGGCGCAGCGCGCGGGCCGGGGGATGCCGGCCGCGGGGCTGCCGGTCACGTACAGCTTCATATACGGTGGCGGCTACGAGTACATGGTCCCGCGTCCGGGGAAGGACGGGGGCGAGGATATTGTTATTGGCGGAGGGCTGGCCCGCGCCGAGCAAGGGGGACTGCTCGAGTTTGGCAGCACCGACGACACGACGCTCAACGGGACCATCAGCGAGTATCTTCGGGAGTCGACGCCGAGGTACTTTGGGGACAACTGGGGCGACGACCACCCTGACGGCCGAGTCCGGAGTGAATGTAAGATGCTCTTCTAGCCGCGTACCTTCAACCGCTCCTGTCGACTAACTCTGATGCCACTCAGGGACGGGCATAATGGGCTATAGCGTGGACGGGTATCCCCTCGTCGGCCATGTGCCGGCCGAGGACGAGAACGGGCCGGCCGGAGACCAAGATACGGGCCTGTGGGCCAGCTGCAGTTTCCAGGGACACGGCATGGTGCTCTGCTGGATGTCGGCCAAGGCGCTGGTGGAGATGATGCAAGGGAGGGACGACACTGAGCTGGCGCGCTGGTTCCCCGATGCCTTTCGACTGACGAGGGAACGGATGGGCAAGAGCTTCAAGGTCCTGGAGCGGCTGAGCGCGGCAGATCAGTCCTCTTAATGGGTGGTTGTTTCGCAATGTTTTTCAATTCAACCATGATGTAGCAGTTCGCTCCCAAGTTTGAACCATATAAAGCGGCCCAAGTGACATGCGGCCGTCAAATTTGTGCCACCGCCTACAGAGGAAAAAAAGGTGAGAAAGAAACGTAGATCCAGAACCAGACGCGGGCTTCTATGTGCATCATTCATGTCTAATATCATATAAACCAAGGGAAACAACCGAAAGCCCCATCTCCCCTAAAGCAGGTGCCCATTCGCCGAGGCGCCCTCGGGCCTCTTCCAGTGCACCAGGGTGCCGCCCCAGCTCTCCCTGCTGTAGTCGACCTGGATCTTCTGGCAGCTCCGGAGGCCCCAGTCGGTGACGCCGAGGATGTAGCAGCTCTCAAACATGAAGGCGCAGCTGCCCTCGCCGACCTTTGTCGGCCCCAGCGCCGCGTCGCGCGCGCCCTCGTAGCTGGCCGCGTCCGGGCCGTGGCCGCTCATGACGTTGTGGAGGCTGGCCCCTCCCGGCACGAACCCGCCCGAGCCGCCCTTCTTGGCGTCGTAGTCGCCCGAGATGAGGCCCATGAACTCGCTCATGGTGTTGCGGTGGTACCAAGGGGGCCGGAAGGTGTCCTCGCCCACGAGCCATCGGGGCGGGAAGATGACAAAGTCGCACGCGGCCGTGCCGGGCCGGGCCGAAGGTGCCGTCAGGACCGTGAAGATGGACGGGTCCGGGTGGTCGAACGAGATGGTGCCGATGGTGTTGAAGCGCCCGAGGTCGTACTTGAAAGGGTAGTAGTTGCCGTGCCACGCCACCACGTCGAAGGGCGTGTGCGCCTGCGTCGTCGCGAAGAGCGTGTTGTTGAACTTGGCCGTGACCAGGTACCCCTTGCCATTTTCATCACTCGCGGGCGGCGCGAACGCACTTGGCCCGTGGTCCTCGCTGAAGCAGGCCACGGGGGCCTGGAAGTCGCGCGCGTTGGCGAGCCCGTTGGACCCGATGGGCCCCAGCTCGGGCAGGGTGAAGTGGCCCTGGTACAGCTCGAGCGCGTAGCCGCGCGCGGGGCCGGCGCCGTCGGGCAGGAGCACCTGGAAGCGCACGCCGCGCGGCACCACGGCGATCTCGCCCGGCCGGACCAGCAGCCAGCCGAGCTCGGTGCGGAGGTCGAGCACGCCCGACTGCGCCACGAGGAGCAGGTCGCCGTCGGCCGAGTAGAAGGCGCTGCGGGCCGCCATGGACCGCCCCGCCGCGAACACGTAGATGCCCAGCCCCTGCTTGAGCGTCGGGTCGCCGGCCCCGGCCACGTGGTGCAGGCCCGACACGAAGTCGGCCTCGGGGTCGTGGTCGAAGGGGTCCCAGCGGAGCTGGTTCGGGATGTAGTTCAGCCTCGGCGCGGGCGTGAACCAAGCCGTCTTGTTCCACACGTCGTACAGCTGGTCCGGCGTCGCTGGCGCGTCACTCGCCGACATGCTCTTGACGTGGAAGGGGGGGTGTGCGCACGAGGGGAGGATGCGGTACAGCCATGTCTGCTTGTTCTCGTGTCGCGGCGCCGTGAACGCTGTCCCAGAGAGCTTCTCGGCGTACAGTCCGAGGGGCGGCTTTTGTGGCGAGTTGTGGCCAATGGGGAGGGCACCAGGGACAGCTTCGGACCTGTTTGGCAACCGGGAATGCCGTGTGTCAGTTTTGGAGACAAAGACAGGCAAAGACAGGCGGTGCTGTGCGGGAGCCCGTACTCGAGGTGCGCGTCGAAGCCGCTCATGTAGCGGTACTTCTCTTTAAACTCAAAGTTGGTCACCGGCATGTTGGGCGAATAGTTTCGGGGTGTCGATTTCAACGTCGAGCTGGCCGTGGTTGTGGTCTTGCGGGAGGCTTATAAAGAGGCAGCTCGGCTGGGAGTCGACGGTGATTGTCACCTGGCTGGGAGACGAAGGTGATTGTTCAGCAGTCAAGGTCGAAGGACCGCCAGTTTCATATAGGGCAGCCATCGTGTATATTCAGTCGGCCTTGCGCCACTGTTTCAGCGGCATGCATAGACTCCGGGACCTTGCCAGCGGCCTTGTGTGTGTGACAGTTCCAGTTCCGCACTTCCCTGGCGCTGTTAGTTGGCGGCTACTGTCGGCAAACAAACGGCAACGGCTTTGGGCAACGCACAGTGGAGCCTGGAGAGGAGCGAGCGCCCCCACTTGCCGTCTGGACATGACGGAAATAAAGCGTTCGCAGCGCTCGACCAGGATCTCCTCGGTTATGCTAACCCTCGCTGTTCACTGCTGCCTCTCCAGCCATTGCCCAGCCACAGTGTTCAAACGCTCTCCTTCCAGCGGTGCCCCTCCATAACGCCATACCAGATTTGCAGTGTAGCAAATGCGACTTGACGCAAACATCTGAACCAATTCGAACAAAGCGCACCAAAACAACAAAATCAAGCATCGGTCTCGTCAAGCACGGGATTCATTGCAAGTGCATCTCCCTGGAACAGTTGATCTCTGGAATAGTTTGATTGTTGAACTGATTTGGGTGGTTTGGATTGGTCCATGCCAACTCCAAGGCCAGGGTAAGAATGGGAGAGGCAGCGCCATAGAATGAAGCTCGGTTTTTGTGCTGCTGTTGGGGCACCAAGCGTTGTCGTCAATCCACCCTACTTCGGCGTCACGGCAACTACCGAGCGTAGCACTGTCATCTACTCCTCAGTGGCGTTCTTCTTCTTCTTCTTGCCGCCGCCGATGTTTCGCTCCCCAGTGCTATCCTTGGAAAGATGCACGATGAACCGTGTCCAGGACTCCTCCTTGTCCCACTCGAAGCCGGCCAGGTATGGTTGGTCGAGCTCGTCGTCGGCCTGTATTTGCGAGAAAGGGCATGCGGTTAGCCAAACCTGAAAGACATCCTTGGTCGCTCTACATGAGGAGCCCAGAACTTACCCGCTTCTTGTATGACTTGTAGATGGCGTCTAGCGCATCCTTGATGGTGACGCCCTTGAGGTTGCGTGCAGTGACCTCGAGGCCGAGAGGGAAGTGCAGGTCAATCTTCTTGATTGGCGGCGTGGTGAGGAGCTTCTTCAGTAGCTCCTTGTCCTCCACTGTCGATGGCGACGTGTTGATCTTCCTGTATGAATGGAGTTGACATCGAATCAATAAGCGGCCCAACGAGCGCCGGGAGGGGCGGGTGCCGATGCATGCACCAGCGGGAAGGCACCAAGCAGGCGAGGCAAACTTACCACCCTGTCTTTTGGGTTTCCTTGGCGATCGTGATCTCCGTTCCCTCCTCCTCTGATGGTGTGGCGTCGTGTCAGTCGACGGTCAAGACAACCGGCCACCCATAGGGGCAGATGGGTCAGGGGTGGGAGGAGGGGACATGTCGGGCATCAGGTGCTTCGGGCAATCAGTGTGCCATTGGGATCACGTACCGAGGTCCTTGATGTTGAAGACGCCGCTGGCGGCCACTGAGCTCTGTCTCCGGTTGCCCTTAACCGCTTTCGGGGGAGACGAGGACAGGCCCTGGACCGCGGAGTCGACCTTGGACAATGGTTCCGTCATGTTGGGTGGCGAGGTTGGATGTGATGTAGCTGCGGCTGCGGGGTTTTGAGGACAAGATGGTACGACTTGTCCGGACTGATGGAAAGAGGGAAGCTTGTTAGCTGAGGATGGGAATTGGGGAGAGCTGGGAAGAGACGAGGGAGACAGGGAGGGAGCACAAGAAACAAAGCAGCGCCGGTTCCGGCGCCGCCTTTGCTATCTGGTCAAAGGAAACGGGTACTGAAAAGACATGGTTGGCTGGCTACCTTGGATATCGTTCGACTTGTTGTCTATGTTGGGTTGCTGTGGTAGGTCGAGAGTGTGAGATACCAGAGATTGGGACAGGAAGAGACGGATGGGGAGAGGGGAAGAAGATGGAAGATGACGGGCAAAGAGGGGAAGTAAAAGAAGGGTGGGAGAAGAGGGGGCAGGAGAGGGGGTTGGCACGGCATGGTTTCGGGAAGCTACCACTGGGCCGAGAGGGGGACGCATGAGGACATACCTTCAGCTGTTATTTGGCTGTGGAGACGCTAAAGTGGCTTCGTTGGTACCGTACAGGGGACTGGAGCTCTCGGACGTGCGCGCAATTGGCTGGCAAAACTATCGGACGATGTGCGAGTGCGTGTACAACGGTACTTTGCAGGGAGCTCGACTTTGGATCTCAATGCTGGGCGGAGTGAGCATGGCATTCCTCTCGAGGTAGCGAAAGTGTCCCGGGGTGCATTCCTCTTTTGTAGTGGGCACAAACGGTACCTCGCTCTGGAGCTGAGCACGCTCTGGGGCTACGTACGCATGGCCGCCTGCCTCTCTACTTGGTACCTACGCATTGTCCGGGCCGGCCGTTCCTGGCGTGCTCATCAGCAGGTTCTCTCTGGCCGGGCGGGGTAGCAGACAAGATCACTTGACGCATCACTTCATGGATGGTACGCCGCCGCTGCCGATCGCGTGACTGCTGGCCTGCTTCTTGAATGACATGGCCAGAACTCAAAGCGGCGAGCTCACACCACCTGCGGGGCTCGAGCTCCCCCAGCGTGCCAGCCCCGCCCCACCCGCAGCCCACCAGACGCCTGAGAACCCACCAGCGGGAGCGCACTTGAGAGGGGCCGGCGCTGTCGCGGATTGCCCACAGTGTGCCTGGGCCGTCTCAGCGCTGCTGGTCTGGGGAAACCTGGGGAAGTGGATCCGCCGGGCGTCATTGCGTGGCACTTTGGCTCAAGCTGTCTCTACACGAGGGCCTGACCACCGACGCTTTGGGTAGAGAAAGGGAAGCGGCCTCAGAGCTTTTCTAGAGTGTGGTTTTGGTAACAGTCAATGACGGAATTGGTGTTTTGCAGTCGTCCTAGTTCCTTTGCATTCAGGATCCGCTGGCAGCGGTGACCCAACAAGGAAGAATGGCATTAGGTCGGCTGGGTTCTGCAGGTGGTGTTTCTGCACGAATGAGCTCAAGCTTCCCCCGCACTGCATGAGGAGCGGCCACAGGCAGTCCCAGTCCCGCAACAACGCCACTCTCCCATCATGTTTCAAAGTCCATTTCCATGAGACCACGTCGGTTGCCTCTCCCTCTGTACCCAGCCAACACGCATGCCTGTCGGTATTTTCTTGATGATGGAGCCAATTGCGTCTGATTGTGCCCTTCGCATCTGTCGTTTTGTAAAGGGAGCGCACGGTAAACCTTCTCCAAAACTTGCACATACTGTAATATTCTCCTCTACGGGACGCCTGTCTAGAGAAATGCTTTGTTCACAGCGCTGCTATTAATCATCGATCTACCTGGAGAGAACAAGATACCTGTCCCGGCTACGTCTCCCGCCATCTTATATTCTTGCAATGTATGCAATCTATCTTGACAGCCGCAACACCCTCTTCGTGGGTACGTGAACCGCCTCGTCGCAGGAAGTCCTTCTGCCCTTTGACCACCGGGTCGAGTATTTATTACCCATGCCAGCCGACGTATCGTATCGTAGAGTTAAAAAACCAGTAGCAACAGTCCTCATCCATTGTCTGCATCCTGGACACTGCCCCCAACCTCTGGCCTATATCACGAAGCCGCACCGAAGCATCGAATCATGAGGCCCACCAACGCTCTCATCCTCGTCTTGGCATGCGTTGCTGCCTCTGCAGCGGTAGACATCCAACCACGTCAGACAGGTGGTGGCAATGCCTGCAAGTGCCTCGGCTACCCCAGCCCTGGCCTCATCTGCGGCAACTGCGTCCTTATTAGCAACGGCGCCTATCTCATCAGGGAAGGCCGCGTCGACACTCACGTGTGGGTGGTTTTATCTGTCTTGCAAACCCTTGCCCGCGCTATTTCGCGTGCTTGGTTTCGAAGCACCCAACCAGCCGATCCCGCACTCGCCGGACAGAATGATGCTGAAGGCTACGCTTTAGGTACGAGTGCAATCCTGCGGGCCGCTGCTACGACTATGGCCCAGCCAGCTCGCTTAACTGTGGCTCTTTGAGCGCCGAGTGTCCGCGAGGGACGTCACGTCCGCGATGAGGCTCTGGCTTTATGAGCTGGGCATGCGTGGAACGTGTTGGTCGAGGGGGGAGTATTTGATGGTGGCTATTGGATCTTGTTGGAGTAGGCTGGGAAGAGCGGCAAGTATATCGTCGGTTTATCGTTGTGCATTCTGCTTCGTTCGCTTGAGCTTTCTGACCAGGATCACTAGTATGACCAGAAAGACAATAAAGAACTCTAGACCAACCAGGCCGATCCAGATCCTGTCCAGGACATGGTTGTCGACATGCACGGAGAGGACAGGCATCGCGTCGGTCGGCTGTTGGAAATGTAGGCTAGTTTGTCTGTGTGGTACTGATGACAGATGTGCGCTGCTCGCTGGCACGGGCTGTGCTTGGACGGAGATGCGAAAAGAGGTGACCCAAAGCTTGGGTGAGCATTTATCCTTGTACGGGTGTGACATCTAAAAAGCAACGTAAAGGACATGGTGTCATATCGGCATGATCTTCCACGAATATAGCATCAATGTTCGGCGAAAAAGTTCCGAGCCAAGAACTTGTGTTATACGGGTGATGAGGGCATCTGCTTCTGGCCACCTTTCCATAACCTCGCATGTGGTGGAGCGCGAAGATGGGTATCAGCCCTGAAGAGAATCGAGTATTTCCAGCGGAGCACATGACCTTCAGTTCTCTGACCAAAGGGACTCTAGTATGAAAATCTCCCGTTGCGCGGTATGCCAGGGCACACCACGGTGAGATTGGACCGAGGATGCTGGGGTTTGAAATGCAGATAGTAGAAACCTTCCAAGTCCAGGCAGTTCCGTCGCCTTGTCGACTACAAGGACGGGCTCAAAAGGCACTGCATTCGTTCCGTCAGCCTGGCCGACGACGGTACCGAGTGCGCGTGATTCGATTGGGCGTGGAGTCGGAGGGGCAGGCCGCATCCTTGACGCCAGCCGTTGGGCACCAAAGCCGGCAAAGCCCAACGCCCGGGGAACATAGCAGGACTGTAGCAGAAACCAACTTCAAGGTTCGATACACTCGTCGAGAGTAGCGAATATAGCACCACGAAAACCGCCCACAGAACCCCAATTATTCACATTAAAATCGCCCTTGCCGTTTTTCACGAAAACCTACAGTATAGGGAGATCCGCAAGCCACCTTGCCCCTTGCATCAATCATGGCAGCGTCTGTGCGATCGGAGCCCGGGCCCAAGTTCGGCAGGGCGACCTCGAGGGCCAGCGGCGTCCCCGCAGACGATTCCGGGGATCGAGCCTCCGGCAGCCTCGGAAACGAATACTGCTACTCTCCTCTGCCGCATCATAGTATTCGTCTGCTTCGTCTCATGCCGCACAAAGACAAGGAGGCGCCTATACGGTGCCAGCTCTTCGAGTACTCCCTGCAGGAACCAGGCCAAGGGATACATCTGTACGAGGCTCTGTCGTATGTGTGGGGCTCTCAAGAGAACAAGCTGCCTATCTATCTCCAGTCAACCGACAGAGGCGGATGCTCCTCCGCTACTCCTACCACCGGAGACGATCATTGCTTGCTCGTTACGGCAAACCTTCACAAAGCGTTGTCCTGTGTCCGGAATCGTCTCCTTGAGCGCGTCTTGTGGATAGATGCCGTCTGCATCGACCAGGGGAACGAGGACGAAAAGGGACGGCAGGTTCGATCGATGGCCAAGATATATGCCAACGCCAGTCGCGTTATTGTTTGGCTTGGAGAAGCGGTCGATGACGGCGACCAAGCGCTTGAAGCAATACGCATGGCCGCCCGAGAGCACATGGACCCCACGATCTACCAGCCAGGTCACCAAGCAACCCACGCACATCAGCCCGCAAATTCCGCAATAAACAGGCAAGCTGTTCTCAAGCTGCTCCAACGACCTTGGTTCCAACGCATTTGGGTTAGTTACAAACGAATGATTGATTATAAGTACAAACGACTAACACATTAACCTAGGTCCTTCAAGAGGTTGCTGCGGCTAGGAATATTGTGGTGAAATGCGGTTCTGTGGAAATCGACGGGCACGCATTCTGCTCAGGCATGGATGCACTAAAGCCCTACCAAAGCTCTCAAGAACTGAGCAGCCTGATTCGTTCCGTTGCCTATCTCGTAAGGGGCGCAAGCTTCCGCCCCAGATTTGAACACGGACTGGCGAGCAGCCAGGGGTTTTCTCTAGGTATCCGCCCCTTAAGTGAGTTGGTGGATATGTACCACGACCGCAAAGCCACGGAACGTCGCGACAAGGTTTATGCCTTGCTTGGCATGAGCCTGGGTGATCCAAGCGCAGCGGGATTGTCAGCCAACTACGAGACCTCGTGGAAGGACGTTTTTCGGAAACTCATCCAATTTTGCCTTTCCGATCAAGTGCGTGTTAGCACCTGGAACGCTTCGGAGGTGGCGGTGGTAGACGCCAAAGGCTACCTTCTCGGGGAAGTAACCTTGATCCGTGAGGACTATCTTCCTCAAATCGGCAGACAGACTACAGGCGTCACTTGGAAGTGTGTGTCGGGTTATTACGACACGGAAGAAAACCGGAGCTTCGATTTCACCTTGCAAACCTCCGCAAAAACCATCGAAAAAGGGGACTTCGTCTGTTTCATAGAAGGAGCACCAACGCCTACCATCGTCAGGCTACGCGACGGCTTTTGGACCATTGTCATGATTGCACTTCCCCGGACCAACGATCTGCCAAAGTGGACGGCTCCGAAAGCAAAATTTCTAACCGATTTCTTGCTTGTCTGGGACTGGGGTGGAGCTCGAAAGTCGCAAGCCGGAAACGACTACGGAGGCTTTATAGGCAATCGAGGGGCGCCCAAATGCTCGAAAGAAGGGTGCAAATTCCAAGACGCCATCGGATGGTGGAGTTTGGGGGTGTCGCTAAACGGAATCGAACGATACGGAGAGGCCGTACAGAATCTCCGGAAGGCAGTGGGAATTTCTAGTCTCGGAGCGGTATCAAGGAGTGAGGGCAACACGGGACACGTGTGTTGGAGAGAGGAGGATGAAAATGCGATGATGGCAATGAATGAACTTGATGGTAAAGGCGCTGCCATGGAGGCGGGATACAAGGAGCGCGGCTATACGCCGCTGTGGTGGGCCGTCGAGGAGGGTTGCGAGGCGTTTACGCGGCTGCTGCTCGAAAACGGTGCCGGCGTTGAGGCGAAGAAAAGCCAGCACGAGCTGCTCCGCTCTGCTGTAAAGCAGGGGCACAAGGCGGTCGTAAGGCTGCTGGTGGATCAAGGGGCCGATATTAAGGCGAAAAACAGGGAGAGGGACACGCCGCTGCACTTGGCCGCATATAAGGGGCACGAGGCGGTCGCGAGGCTGCTGGTGGATCAAGGGGCCGATATCGAGGCGAAAAACGACTCCCGGCAAACGCCGCTGCACTTTACCGCATATAGCGGGCAAGAGGCGGTCGCGAGGCTGCTGGTGGATCAAGGCGCCGATATTAAGGCGACAAACGAATTCCAGCAAACGCCGCTGCACATTGCCGCAATGAGAGGGTACGAGGCGGTTACGAGGCTGCTGGTGGATCAAGGCGCCGATATCGAGGCGAAAGACAGGCGCCAGCAAACGCCGCTGCACTTGGCCGCATATTACGGGCACGAGGCGGTCGCGAGGCTGCTGGTGGGTCAAGGCGCCGATATTAAGGCGAAAAACAGGGAGGGGGAAACGCCGCTGCACTTGGCCGCATATAAGGGGCACGAGGCAGTCGCGAGGCTGCTGGTGGATCGAGGCGCCGATATCGAAGCGAAAGACAGTCTCTGGCAAACGCCGCTGCTACTTGCCGCAAGAAACGGGCACGAGGCGGTCGTGAAGCTTTTTAGATCATAGCAACTTTGCCACCTTCCCACCAGGGTTGAAAATGCAGATAGCTATAACCAAGGTCTCGGCACTCGTGGCAGTCCCTGATTTTATTCGGTACCGAGGCGAACAGATTGGATACTGCAGGCAGGTCGCAGGCGGTGGTGCGCTGGCTTGGCTGGGGTTGGAACCCAGGGATGGGGCCATATTTCCTAAACAGGCGCTGTTCCCGCCGTTATTGTTTGCATGGGGGAGCCCTCACTTAATGCGCGCGTCCTCATGCCGGCTAGGTGCCGATGGCCGGTCAGCTCAGCCGGGTTCGTGAGCTAGAGGACGCTAGATTGCATGCTCGTTTCGCAGCCGGCCGACACTTCGAAGCTGCATGTTAGAATTGAGATTCGGCGCTGCCCTCGTTGCGTGGTTGAGCAAAAACCATAGAGGCAAGCGATGGCGTGGTTGCTTTGGTGGGGTGACTTTTGGTGCTGCGTTTTTCTACCCACGCCACCATTCAGGCGTCGACTGTTTGCGGGGGCGGCTTAGCGCTGGCACGTGCTGCGGTGGGAGCGGCTTTCGGCGAAATGAGCGCGCCCAGGCCACTGACGGGTGCCACAAATGGCGGCGTTTTAGTGAGTCGCAGCCTCCAAACGTGTTCCAATTGGGGGGGAGACACTTATACGCGACACACGCCAGCCAACGGCGAAAACAAACCTAACAAAACGCACAGTTCAGGCCTCGGTAAAGACACGCGCACACCGTGTTGTGCTGCATGGCTTTCTATGTACAGACGGAGGAGGTATCTAATGCCAGACAGGTTGGGAGTCCGTTGGGATGGGATGAGCTGGGGATAGGTGGCAGTTTGAGCTGTGGTGGTGCCGCCTCGTCACTCCGCTTGATCCCGCCCCAGCCAGCCAAGCCCAAACTTCCATGTTCCCGCGGCCACCATGCTCACGCCCTCACCTGAGTCCCGGCCCTCGGTTCTGGGCCGATGCACCATCAGCAGATCCAAGCCTGGGTCGATCAGATACGCTACCAGAGCCGCGCCGAGAATTGGCAGCGGCCCTCTCCGGCACCTGAACGTGCTTTTAAACCAACGTAGCGGTCGCCGCTCCATTTTTCGCCTATCCCTTTTTGTCCCATTTCTTTTGTATGGCTTTATTATTTAGCTCTGCATAATCAGGCACACCGACTAACACCCTCTCCACCCGCTTAACCGCCACTGGCGTGCGCTCTGACCGACACCGGCACCAAACGTCTAAGCAAACGATACGGAGGAAATCCAGCTTCTTCCCATCTGCCATATCTCACCCAAATCCCTTCACACATATCCACAATACATACACATAAAGACAACTGCCTAGTGCACACAACATGTGCATAGTACTACTCACAACGAGCCACCCAGACTATGCTCTGATCGTGGTCAACAACCGCGACGAGTTCATCCTGCGGCCCACCTCGAGGCCGCACTGGTGGACTCCGCACAGCGACCCGGCGTCCGGCGGCGGCGGCGGTGAGGGCACGCCCGCCGGGGGCAGCGAGCCCGCCATCCTCTCGTCGCGGGACCTGAACCGGCCCGAGCGGGGCACCTGGCTGGGCATGACGCGGACCGGCAACTTCGCCTGCCTCACAAACTACCGCGAGGAGGACCCGCTCGAGGGCGGCGCCCACGCCATCCACGGCGTCCGCTCCCGCGGCGCCATCGTCTCGGCCTGGTTGGGCGCCGACCCGGCCGAGCGGACCCACGAGTTCGTCGAGCGCATCCTCTCGGGGCCCGGCGTCAAGGGTGTCGGCGGCTTCAGCCTGGCCTGCGGCAAGCTCCGGAGGAGGGGGGCGGCGGCGGCAGCAGCAGCAGCAGCACCTGCGCCCGCAACAGCCACAGCCACAGCCCCGGCCTCGGATAAAGACATCGACCCGCTCGTCATCATCTCCAACCGCAGCGAGCACCCGGACACGGTGCCCCGCGTCGCCTCGCGGCGCGGCGAGACGGTCGGCCTGAGCAACGCCGCCTTTGACGCCGACGGCCCGCCCTGGCCCAAGGTCGACCGCGGCCGGACGCTGCTCGACGAGGCCGTGGCGCGCCACGCCGCCGCCGCCGCCGCCGCCTCCACCGACGACGACGGCGGCAAGTCCGAGGACCGGCTCGTCGCCTCCCTCTTCGCCGTCCTCGACGCCGAGTCCCTCCCGCGCCTGCCCGGGGGCGACGAGGCCAACTTCATGGACTACATCCCGCTGCTCAAGCACACCATCTTCGTCCCGCCCCTGGGCGACGCCGAGCGCCGCCGCCAGACG